CAGGGCTTGCCCAGTTTGAGCTTGCGCCGGTCGGGACGCGCGGCACATGGAGAAGCACAAGGTCGCCAGCCTTGAACTCCTTGTACTTATCGGCCTTGTGCTGGTTGAGCTCCTCGCGGGCCTGCGTCGCATCCGCCAGCAGCTCCTTGGCGCGGGCGTGAGCCTGGTGCAGGGCGCTCAACACGTCCACCATGTGGCCGGACACGTCTTCGGGTATGTCGGACAGGATGCTGGTGACGCTGGTCGGAGGCTCGCAGCCGAACCGCAGGAAGTACGGCGTGTTGCCGACGGTTGGGTGGAAGCTGGTGTTGTAGGCCAGGGTGACGAGGCCGACGAACTTGTCCCAGTCCGTCTGGCGCGTGTTGACGAGGGTGCCCAGCATCTTGCAAACGGTGCGGTTCCAGCGCTCGACCATGCCATCGGTCTGCGGGTGGTACGGGCTGGTCCAGATCTTTCGCACACGCAGCAGACGAAACAGGTCCGCCGTGTCTTTGGCGCGGAAGCTGGGGCCCTGGTCGCTCAACAGCTTCTCTGGGATGCCGTGCGTGGCGAAGAAGTGCGTGGTGAGCGCGTCGACGACGGTGGCAGCCTTCTGGTCACGCAGCGGGACGGCCATGACAAACTTGGTGAAGACATCGCTGATGACCAACAAGTGCTTGTTGCCTCGGGCAGAGGCCGGCAGCGGGCCGAGAAAGTCCATGGCCACCAGCTCCATTGGCCGGGATGCGACGACGCGGCCCATTGGCAGGGCGGTCGGCGGCTTCTGCTTCACACGCTGGCAGGGGACGCAGCACTGAACGTACTCCTTGGTTCTGGCGTAGAGGCCAGGCAGGTAGAACTGCGCTGACACGCGGCGGTACGTGCGCTCGATGCCCAGGTGGCCAGACGAGGGGTGGTCATGGGCCTGTCGCAGTGCCTGCTTGAGGAGGCTGGCAGGCAGGACGGCCTGGTTGTCAAACCGGATGATGCCACCGACATCGCGAAAGTGGTGCAGGCTGGACCAAAACTGCTTGGCGGGGAGGGCGGCAGCGCTCAGGTCAACTGCCTCCTTCCCCTCCCGAGCTGCGCGCACTGCAACGCAGAGCGGGTCTGCCTGCTGTCCAGCCTTGATGGCATTGGGCGTGAGCCAGGCGGGCGTGCGGCTTCGCACAACCGTAGGTTGGTCTGGCTCAGCCAAGAGCGGGTCCTCGTCGTCACCGCTCTCGCCCTCATCCGCGTCGTCGTCATCGTCGTCGAGTTGTTGCGGCAGGACCGGTGCGGCAACCACGTCAACCGCGGGCTCGGCTGGCGACTGCTCAACAGCATCGCGAGGAAGGCGGGAGAGCGCATCGGCAACCACGTTGCTGCTGCCTGGTCGGTGAATGACCTCAAAGTCGCAGTCCTGCAGCTCGAGGCTCCAGCGTCCAAGGCGACCGCGCGGATCACGGATGGATCGCAGCCAACGCAGGGCAGCGTGGTCCGTGACGACCTCAAACGTGGTCGCAAAGACGTACGGTCGGAACTTGCGGATGGCCCAGACGACACCAAGGCACTCCTGCTCGCTGACGGAGTAGTTTTTCTCCGCCGCGTTCAGCGCCCGGCTGATGAACGCCACCGGGTGGTGCACGCCATCGTCGCCGGCTTGCGACAGCACGGCGCCAAGGCCTGTGCCGGAAGCATCCGTGGTGATGCGGAACGCACGCGTGAAGTCGGGATAGGCCAGGACTGGCGCGCGGCAGAGCTCAGCGCGAAGCTCGTTGAAGGCGGCCAGCTGCTGCTCTCCGAAGTCAAAGGGCACATCCTTCTTCAGCAGCCGATAAAGGGGGCGCAGCAATGCGGGGCAAACTGGGGAATGAACCGGCGATAGAAGCCAATCATGCCCAACACGCGGCGGATGTCCTCCACTGACGACGGAGGCGCAAGCTTGGAGATACCATCCAGCTTCGCCGGGTCGGGGCGCACACCGTCAGCCGAGACGATGTGGCCAAGGTACTCCGTGCGGCGCTGCAGGAAGTGGCATTTTTCAGGTTTGAGGCGCAAGCCAACCTCCTGCAGGCGCTGCAGCACCTTGTCGAGCAGGGCGATGTGCTCGTCAAAGCTGGAGCTGAACAACAGGATGTCGTCCAGGTAGATGCACGCGTTGCGAACATCAGCCAGCGCGGCCTGCATGGACCGTTGGAAGAACGCCGGGGCGTTGCGCAGGCCAAACGGCACCACCTGGAACTCATACAGGCCCGTGTGGGTGATGAACGCCGTCTTCTGGCGCGCATCCTCCGCCAGCGGGCACTGGTGGTACGCTGACGCAAGGTCGAGCGTAGTGAAGAAGCTCGCGCCACCCATGTTGTCAAGGGTGTCATCGAGGCGCGGCATGGGGAAGGCGTCTGGGACGGTCACCGCGTTCAGTTTGCGGTAATCGACACAGAAGCGCCATTCCCCACTCTTCTTCTTCACCAGCACCACTGGGGATGCCCACGGCGAGAAGCTGGGCTTGATCACCCCATCCTTGAGGAACTGCTGCACAGTCTCCTCGATGACCGCACGCTCAGTGGCCGAGCGGCGGTATGGGTGCCGGGACACCGGTGGGTGATCACCCGTGTCGATGCGCATCGGTGGTAGCTTCGCTGGAACGCCCACGGTGGCGGCAGAAGCAAACGCAGCGCTGTGCTTGTCCAGCAGCTGCTCCACCTCGGACTGCTGCTCCTGCGTGAGCACAGCCGGGGCATCGTCCTGCACGGCAGCCACCTCATCAGCTTCGTGTGTGACGACACACGCCGATGACTCGAGGAGTCGAGCGGAGGTGCTGCTGCGGTGGGTGCCGCGGTGAAACACGAGGCGACGCTGGCGCACGTCGATGACCGCACCGAGGGCCGAGAGCAGCTCCACACCCAAGATGACGGGGTGAGCAAGACGCTCCGCCACGATGAAGTCATGCTGCAGCTGCACGCCATCGATGCACAGGGGCACTTGGCTCATGCAACCCTTGACGTGGATGCGCTGCTGGTTAGCACCTCGCAGCACAATGCCGCTAGGGCGCAGCGGCCCCACGCCAGCGCTATCAGCAACGTCTGCAGACACGAGGGAAACAAGCGCACCAGTGTCAACCAGCATCATGGTGTTGGCACCGTTGAAAGTGCCCTCAACCACGAACGGTGGCAACACGTCCCGGGCGCTCGTCGAAGCAACCGCAACCGACGCAGCCTCAGACTCAAAGGAGTCGTGCGTGGCCTGCACCACAGCGGCAGTGCGGCCAGGCTGCGGACGATGCGGCTGCTGGCGACGCTTGTCAGCCAGCATGCGCTTGCGACAGTCGCGGATGCGATGACCGGGAGTGCGGCAGTAAAAGCACACGATGCGGCCATCTGCAGAACGCTTGCCGCGATCCTGCTCAGCCTCAACCGTGGCCACACCCTCCTCGGTGCGCGCGTGGCCTCGCCGAGACGCAACACGTGCCTCAGCAAGGCGTGCCTGCGACACAGCAGCAGCAAAGGTATCGAACTGCTGCAGGCCCAGGAGCACCGCGATGTCCTCGTGGAGCCCTGCGAGAAAGAGGCCAATGTAGTTGTCGACACTCTCCTCGAGGTCCGCGCACAGCCGGGAAATTGC